GCTTCACTACAGACATTTTTATGTACGGAGTATATTTATATTTAGTATTTTCCCTCCAGAAATTGTGTTTTTTAGCGGCAAGAAAGCTGATTCGCTGTCTTTTGGATGTCATACTAGTCAACCAGTAGTGGGAACGCCCACTAGCGACCTCATTGCCAGCGACTGGCGACTTGCAGCGACAAAGTCGCGTGTAGTGTGAACGGGGCTTAAGTTACTGGGGAAATTAAGCACTCACAGCTCAAATGGTTAACACCTCAACAAGCTGCCCCACAAGTTTAATGACGTGGGGAGGGGCTGCTTCAGAGTAGCAAGCAGACTGAGTAGGAGATGTGCAACATTGTAAACTTCTCTAAAGTTCTTTTTGCTTTTCCTACACTCTTTTCTCCAGTGTCCATGCTTACCACAGTAATAACAACTGCCCTATCTCTTAGGACATTTACGTTTCTGTTGGTTCTCTGTGTTGACCTTAAAGGGTGCTGCTGCAATGTTTACTCTTGCCTTAACATAAGAGTCTCTTTCCCATGTAGCTAGCCTGTCTAGGTTACTTCTGAGAGTTCTGTTAGACCAAGTTAGATCTAGGAATGACAAGGCTCTTCTGTACTCAGCTACAAGGCTATCTGACCAGATGCGGACTAGAGGTCTGTAGGAGCCATTTATACATGCACCTTTTCTTGATAGGTTAACATTGCAATTACTTATTCTAGCCACTTGGTGGGAGTGTTGCACTGGGTGTGACGCGTCACGTTAGGTATATTAAAGAGAAAAATGTTTTTTTTTTTTGTTTTTTTAGTGCATGCTACGCACTGTAAACCCCAGTTAGGAAATTTGCATGTGTAAATGATGTTTAGATCATTGTGTATGAAAGCTAGAATGTAGAAGTTATTTTAGAAAATAGGCCTGCTAGATGTTTAGATTATATTTTGACTAGTTTAAATGCTGCCTCATTATTATCATTGATGATGCATGCTCGCAAATTAATGCTCCCAGTTAATGACTTGCGCATATGTGTTTTGTTTGCGGTGTGCCTCTCCGGCAATGGCCCATTGACACGCATATTTATTGCACTCGCCTAAAATTATTTACATCAGTTATTCATTATATACTAATGCTGCTGTGGTTATATTTATGTAATAATATTCCTCAACTTAAAAAAAAAAAAAAAGGAATGTAGTTTCATCACTACCTCCGCCTGCAACTCGGAGTGTGCTTAGCAACACAGTCAGAAATCAGAAAGAAAGTACATATTTACCTACAATTTTACAGATGTTAGTTCAATTTTGTTTATACTTAGTGTTAATACAATATGAGCCTGTATGACTTCACAATTGCTTTGTTTATAGCCGACTGATTATTTATTTATTTTACTCGCATTTGATTTGCTTAGAGCAAATTTAGAACATTTAGTTTCTCCATATAGAGGAATTACAATAAAACAGATTGAAAAACCTTTGAATCTCCTCTCATTCTTGGTTCAGGCTGCCTCACTTGATGGGCCATTAGCCATTGGGAGAGTGTCTGTCACACCCCTGGTCTGAATCTCATTAATATTGATAGGCCATTACCACCCCCTCGCATAAACCTCTTCTGACCAAAAAACTGTCATACAAAGTATGAATTCATGTTTTGCTTTATGTGAACAATTAGGCAGGATGGTTTTCACATCACTTTGAAGCCAGAACTCGAAGCGACAATTAGTCGCATCCATTAGTCAAAAGTCTTGTGGACACATATTTAGTATGTGTTTTGTGGTCTTATTTCAACAACTTTCATTTTTATTTTTTTCAATAACCACGCATAAACATTATTCTCTTAAAAATACAAACATGTACATACATGTTGCTCATATATTATGGTATCCCCATATGCGCTATATAGAGTGAATTTACACCTTTGCCATTAACATGTTTATAAATAACTGAAAAAAGCACAAATGTTAGTGCTTGTCAAAACATCCCAAGGGCCCCCAAAACACCCTGGTCCCCTAAGGGTTAACAGGTGTGGCAATCAATTAGGAAAGGTGTGGATGGCGAGGAACACACAGTTCTTACCGTAGCCGTGGGCACTTTACCAACAGCACGACAGCACTTTATTGCTTAGCACTGGTGAAATACCATTTTATGTAAACCATCTCCTTTTTTAAACCATCTCCTTTTACAATAAACGGGAATACCACCCAAAGAGAGCTTATGTTTGGACTCCGGAATTTCTGCTACGCGTTGAGAACACCATGCCATCTACACCAAGGCTTATAGAATAGTCTCAACAAGGTCCTTTGTCAATTAACACACTTTCAGAATCATCAACTATTCCACCGCAAGTTACGGCTGACTTACAAAACCTTTCAGTGTATTCACTCACATTTTCTTCTTTAATTTGCACACAGTTAGTGATTCTAGACCAGTCTATTTTGGGTCCTAAGATATTCTTTAGAATTTTCAAAACACCTTCTCTCATATCGCTTCTACTGGCATGTTGTAGTTCAGAAGTCACTGCAGATTCAAAACTAGGGCTGGTCCGAATACCATTTTTTCAGCTTCGGTAGTAATGAACATCGAATATTCGAAGCTTCGGAATCTCTATATGTCTGTCTGTCCGTTTGCATTTTGATTATTTCGAGAACCGTTCATCCAAACGACTTCACAAGGAGTGCAGTCTCGTATTTGGTGCAATATAGATAGACAGGCGAGACGCAACACGTTCAGAGTTAATAAACTTTAATTAAACTACAGAACAGCGCGAACGGGAAGCGGCACGCCTCATGCGAGCAGAGCTTATATGCTCCGAGAACGGACACTAGTGATATAAAACACACACACAGGTCTGTTAGCTTACAGACATGAGGCGCGCCACTTATTTAAATCTACCCTACTTTGTCATTAAAAATATTGATTTTCTCACTAACAAATTACTAAGGTAGTCTAATATTTTTCTCACTAACAAATTACTAACAAAGTAGGGTAGATTTAAATAAGCGGCGCGCCTCACGCGAGCAGGGCTTATATGCTCAGAGAATGGACACTGCACGCACTAGTGATATAAAACACACAGGTCTGTTAACTTAAGCAATATTTTTAATAAGGTAGTCTAATATTTTTCTCACTAACAAATTACTGACAAAGTAGGGTAGATTTAAATAAAGAAGTGGCGCGCCTCACGTGAGCAGGGAGCTCCGAGAACGGACACTGCACGCACTAGTGATATAAAACACACACACAGTGACAGGTCTTTTAACTTATGAATTTTTTTTTAATAAGGTATAGGTAATATTTTTCTCACTGACAAAGTAGGGTAGATTTAAATAAATAAAAGCTAAATTTAAATAAATAAAAACGAAATTGAAATAAATAAAAATGAAATTTAAATATAGAAAAACGAAAAATAAATGAACGAACTGTAATAGCCTAAATAAAGAACACTGTAGCAATATCAATTTCAATAACATCACAAATTTCAATTTATATTTTGCAGTAGATTAATTTAGATTGATAATAACGGGTAAAAAGGATAATACATTTTGTTTCTATTTTCCACAATGTCAAAGCAACGCAGCTTAACCCAAAACACAAGCTCAGGCAAGCACTTCTGTCCATGATACAAACTCCGCTGTTCTGCGCTCTAGCCAGAGAAAACTCCCGTTGCAGGAACACTTTTAGTAGTCCAAGAAGAAGCAAATATATTTATTTAGTAGCTAAGTTATATGTTAAGTATTATATTTCACCAGATTTTATAGTGTAAAACATATTCAAGCGCGAATGAGAACCGTTTTGAGGGGGGTGAAACAAAATATTAGCACGTAATGTTAACCTTCTCTGTGAACAGAGGATAAACAAAAATAACTAGCACTTAATGCTAATCCTTCTCTGTGACCAGAGGATCACCAATATTAACACGTAATGCTAATCTTCCCTGCCTGACAACAGAGGATAAACTTACATCTCTAAAAGAAAAACTTTAGAGGTTAACCAAAATCTACAGCTGTCTGTTAACTCTTCTATTGCTGTGCAGAGGATAACAAATTTGTACTGGTCTTTGAAGATTCTTTGAATAGAGTGAAACTCACCAAATCGTTTGGTTGTACGGTAAGATTCCGTCTGGAACTCAGTCAGAAAAGTTAATTCTTTGTAGAAATCTTTGTTGAGCTTGAGGTTTTCAAGATTCCGTCTGGAACTCAGTCAGAAAAGTTCTTCTTTGTTGAGATCTTTGTTGAGCTTGAAGTTTAAATCTGGATCCAGGTGAGTAGCTTCTATCCGGGTCACGGCACCATCTGTTGTGAACTTTTCTTCAAGTTTAAGAATTCAGAAGCAAAGACCAGGAGACTCGGGTTGTATCTTAAGTCGAATTCTTTTATTGAGAACATGAGCTGTTGCGTTGCTGTAGTCTTTCCATCCAAGTCTGACTAACCTAAAATACAGACTGTAGTTTATACATTTAGAGGGGGAGGAGTTACATCAAGGGGGAGACCCTCTGAAACAAAGCATGTAAATGAGGTATACAGGTTTTGGAACCTGCTCAGCATGACTCTTCAAACGCTGAGACAGGAACTCAAAGACAAAAGGTGACAGAGAGATCAGGGCAGTCAGGATTATCCCGCTGGGAACCCCTACCGTTTGCAGAGATTTCCTGATCTCATCATTTATGAACTTTCTCAATATAAACTACTATTGTATTGGAATCTAAATAAAACATTTTAATAAATTTGTAACACTACAATACTACCTCTACTTTAATGCATGACATAATAAAGAATGGCTAACTTATAAGTAGGATCTTCTCAGGTGCACTTGAAGGCATCATTAATATTTGTCTGGTCATGTGATCTCAACATTTCTGTCCACATAAGGTGACCTCGCTTCATGTAAAATAAATCCACTTTAATTAAGATACACATATGACACTTTTCAAAAATACCATTCATTTCTGTAGAGGTTGACATATCAAGAAAATCCTTAATCCATATTAATAAGAAATTACTGAGTTCAGCTCAGAGAATGAAAACTAACCTGTTTGTTCCTCGGTATCTTCTGGTTTCACTGTGAATACTTCTTCAATCTTCATGTCTTCACTCTCCTCTTTAACCAATGCCATCTTTATAATAGTGTCACGTGGATCTCAATTGCTTCACCAGGAGTTTTTCTGTGTGTTTGGACACTCTTTCCTGTTTAAGATGAGAATAATTAACACACAAAAATACAAATCCAAACTACATCCATGGGAGAGATTATTTTCAATTTCATGATGACTTTAATGCCCTCAAATGGACTAACTAGTAGGGATGGCTTGAGACCACTTTTTATGTTTTATCTTCCGGCATCGATACTAATCGAGCCATTCCACCGAATGGGTGACATTTGCTTGTTGTAACTCTCCAAATTAAACTTGATTTTTTATCTTTTTTCAACACTGAATCTAATACTACACATATTTAACTATTCAAAATGTGTATTGGTCAATCTCAGCCAACTTTTTTTTTTTTTTTTTTTTTTTACAAGGTTTAAGCAGAAGATGGACACATATTTTCTCAGTCCTGTTACCGAAACTCATGTGCCATTTAAAAAGCATGTTTAAAAGCATGTCAATTAATTCCTTTGTTTTCCCCACAAGAAAGTGTTTATTTTAAAGAAATTGTTGGTTATATGTTTAAATAATTGATATTTGTGGAAAAAAATCACTATTTATTAAGGCAAGGTGTATTTTAATAAAAAACACAAAGCCATTTTTTTTTCATTTTAAAGAAGACCGAACCCTCAAGTTTACAATTGTTTTAATAATTTAATTTATTAAACTATTGTATAAATGATGGACCAAACAAAACTGATAAAAACACTGGTTTAACTTTATTTTTTTAGAAAAAAGAAAAAAAATAGTAACAGGAATGAACACATTGTAACAGGAATGAACACTTGGTAACAGGAATGAGCGTCCATATGTGTGTGTATTGGAGAGAGTCTACATGACTGTGTGTGCATAAGATTTCTGTGTTGAAGTGATGTACTATGTGCTAGAAGTACTTCACAGAGAAGGAGGTGGAAAGAGAAAGAAGGAGAGAGAGAAGAAGAGAGATGGAGGGAGAAAGAGGGAAGTTAAGACAAAAAAGGGGGAAAAGAGAGGGTTGCGGTTTCGCTCCTTCCATTGCAATATGCCATAGGTGTGTGTTTCTGGCACCTGCATAGTATGGGTTTTCTCCATTTTCTACAAAATATAAGAAAGACAAAGACACAACGTTTAAGTTACCTCGTGGTGGACTGGCTTCCTGGAAGTATGGTGTTCACATTATAAAACTAATGCTAATGTCTACAATATAAGTAATTGCAACCTTAAAACTCATAATTCAGGTGAATAGTATTATATAAACTAATATTTACAGTATTAAATCAACAAAATAGAGGACTCTACTCACTCCTGTTACTTTAACTCACTCCTGTTATTTATTCATATAAGCAACAGGACTGAAAGTAACAGGATTGAGTTTTTAAGCAAAAAGTTATCAAATACATGCCATATGGTCACATAGCATACATGCTAACAGCATGAGGACACTGAGCAATTTCTAGTGACTTACCAAAAGTTCATATTTTTAAAATAAACAAATAAAATCTAAGAAATAATTTAGGTAACAGGTATGTTGAGATTTACCTTCTCAGTCATAGTTACAATTTCATCAAATATACAGAAATTAAAATGAGAGGACTTACTTATGGTCTTCCCATTGCCTTCAGAAGATCCAGATGATCCAACTTCCTGTTGAAAATGTGTCTTGTGGAATATTCCAAATTTTTCAGAGGGGGGGATGTGTTAGGATAACAGGACTGAGTGAAAACCCGGGGACAGGACTAAAAATTGTATTTTATCTAAAATATTAGATAAAATATTTTTTTCTCATGAAAAAAAAACATTTTAAAGCATAGATTGGATATAAAGTCACACAACAATGCAAACAAATTAAGATTTCTGAAGGATTTTAATCATCATATTTCATGGTAAATTTTAGAGATAAAGAGTGGGGACATGCAGAAAATGCTATTTTTTAGTGTTCCATGTAGTTTTCATTAATGTTTTTAATTATACATTTTAAATTTGTAGTTAGCTTAATGTGCAGGACATTTTGCTTAATAATAAAATGTCTTTTAGAGTTAAATTTCATGCAATTTTATACATTTAATGTCCTGAGGACAGAAATGTCACCCTTTCGGTAGAATGGCTCCCGAAACCATCTTTTCTCCCCTTTTAAACAACTAAGCTGTTGTTAATACATTTGTTTGGATGTCCTTTGTTCACCTAACCATCTAAACAATTTGCTTAAATTGTGAAACAAATATTCTACTTCCCTAAAGGGAATTATACATAGCCCACAACATAAATCAGTTATGCAATACTGACTTTCTCAAACATGCAATGCAAGAGTGTCTCTTTTATCATATCAGAAGTGAAGCAAATAAAGTGAAGACTGTCAAAAGAACGACAAGGAAGCACAAAAAAAGTACACTAGAGTATATAGGCTAGTATACAAGTTTGGTTGTTAGGCGCCTGCAGCACACACTGTTGTACAAGCATACAGTAGAAGAGACTCGTTTTCTGTGATCTGTGTTTTGAATTGTTTGCAGTCTAATCCTTGAAGTATATACGTTATAAGTTATAATTTTTATTTAAGTTTTTAATGGATACATTTCATATCAGGGCTCCAGACTGCGACCACATGTGCGACCAGTAAATTTGCCTCACGTTAAACGCATGGTTAAGCGTGGAAGGGGCGCGTCAATGAATCCGGAATGAGTGAGTGTGAGAAGAATAGCGTGTCTGTGGGAAGGAGACGGAGACAAATATCACAAGCTGCTATGTGCGTCTGAGCAATGAGCGATCTTTCGACTCGTTACCAAGCAGCGAATGCAAACAAAATGAAAGTGGAACGAAAATACGCTACTCATTTATGCTTCACGGACCGTTAATTATTCCGGACCAATAATAGACAGAGCAGCGCATAGCCTTTCTTATGTAGCAAGCAGCGCCCCGAACCATTGACAGTAAAATAAAGACCCGAACTTGCCAGTCGCGGGGGGATCTCGCTCACGCGACACTGTTACTAGGAGATCCAGTCAGTAAAGAAATCCATTGAATTCGCCTCAGAATTAATAACATCATCGCTACGAGATCCAGTGAGAAACATTACGATTCGGCGCAGAGTTCTGTTATAAACCATAGATATCAGATCAAACAGTGCTGACGTGGAAACTTATAGAAGGCTTTCAGTCCACAAATCAGCAACATTCACCATGGATTTAGGCTAATGTAGTAAGTAACTCTAACGATAAATATGATGACAGAAATAGTCAAACGCAGCCTACACATCTTTTCTAGCACTTCAAAACTATAATATCATATATAAATGCTTTTTTGAATTTATTTTTTATGTGTTGACCAACACATATTTTGTTCATCCTTCAAAGATTGTCCTTAAACTAAAAATTTTAATTTGTTGGATAAACATACACATTTAAACACTTATTTAAAAAAGAAATACCATTGTAAACAGTAGGATGTTTATTGGCTATGTTCACTCCTTAATATACATTTTTTCACTCCTTTTGTTTTTTAATTAATATTAAGACATTATGAATGAAAATAATAACAAAAGTTAATTTCATCTACACCCTAAATTAAGCTTAGTGATTTATTGTCAGCCCCAGTGCTACCAGATTTTTTTTTTTTTTTTTTTTGTAGAACTCAGTGTGAGTTCTCATTTGAGGTGATGCTGCCCTCAAATTTGAGTCTGGAGCCCTGTGAACTTAAAATAAAACTGCATATCGTATATCTGTACGTTAAGTCTCTTTATTAATAAAGAATTTGTCAGTATTACAGTTATTTTGGGGGAAATTTGAATAATTGCATTGCAAGCTGATTTAAGGTGTGGCCCTAAATTTTCTGCTTGTGCTCCTAAAATTTTCAGTCAGGGGCAACACCGCTCCTAGTAAAAAAGGTTAGTCTGGAGCCCTGCATACGGAAAACAACTGTAGTACTCTTGTGTTAATTAAATGAAAAGCTGGTAGTTATTGAGATGTTTAGGGATCGATGTTTGATACTGAAAGCTAACACACGCTAACGGCTAATATGCTAATGGAGCTGTGATATCCCTTTTTTCTTCAAGCACGTGTCGTTAATGCATATCAGTTGTTTATTTAGTTGTATAAAAATGTAAGTGGATGTTTGTGAATGTGAAAATATCCATGATATTTTGTGAATCACTTAGTCATTTATATATTTTGTGTTTCTTCAGTTTTACAGTAAAGTATGCAAAGTGTTCATCACATAAGCATAGCATAACAGTGAAAAGGTATTTGGACCTTCTTTTTAGCCCCAAGCAAAGAACGAAAAATGACTTGGCGTAATTAGTGATGGGAGATTTCAATCATTTCGAAACTTTGAATCAACTGAACTAATTGCTTCGCAAAACGATTCACTGTTTTGATGAGCTTGAAACGCCACACGCTGGTGATGCCTGCTGGTCAGAACAGTGCAGTGAATTCTTAAGCCAAGCATGCATAAAAACACCTTTTACAAACCAACTGCAAATGTTTTATTGAATGTATAATCTAAATGCAATTAAAATCATCTAGGCCTAATATACCATTTAATATGAAGTGTCTATAATATGTGTTGGGCTTATTTTGTTTGTTTTATGGAGAGCTTGGTTAATCAAATAAGAAACTTTTAACAATTTTTTTTCCCTTTTATTATACAAATGCGTCATTAAATTTCTACAAATGTATTATTTTTTATCAGAGATCAGGTAAAATCATACATATACACTGATTCGTGGATTCACATAGATCATTGCCCCCTAGTTACAAATCATTGAAATTTCGAAACATTTCAAGACATTTATGATGTAATAAAGCCTTGCTTACTGGAATTACGTGACTTTGGCAGTTTTGCTCTGAATCACTGGCTTAGAAACAAACAATGTGCCAATATATCGAAGCTTCACAAAGCGTGCTTTGAAAAGCGCACATCACTAGTTATTATAACAGGGCCTTGATACGGTTTTCTCCATTCAAAACACATAAGCTGTGTCCCAATGTGAAGGCTGCATCCTCCGAAGGCTGTATTTGAAGGCCGATTGCGTCACAGTGGCGCGGACGAAGGACATCCCAATTCAAAGGCTGCACCCACCGAAGGTCACATTTGAAGGCCGATTGCGTCACCGCAATCACCGTCACCCACATTTCTTTAGATATCTACAAATTAGAAATTATGTTTGTTCCACTGTGCC